TCACGCACGTTCACTCCACATTGACATAACTGTGGTCATCTACAAGACTAAGCTTTCCGAGCCAAGGCGCGGCCTATGCTCGATGTGGCAGCCGATGTGCCCTCACAGTCCACGCTCTGATTTTCGTTAGTTGCGAGGCGCCATGACGTTGCAAGAAGACCCGCGCACGCCGATCGTGATGATCGGTCCTGGAACAGGCGTGGCTCCCTTCCGGTCATTCGTGACGCACCGTGTCTCCACCAACGCCCCTGGACGCAACCTGCTCTTTTTCGGCTCGCGGAACTCTGCCGGCGACTTTCTTTACCGCGACGAATGGCAGAGCCTGGTGGCAGCTGGCAAAATCGAGCTCTTTACCGCCTTCTCACGCGACCAGGACGCCAAGTACTACGTCCAACACCGAATGCTGGAGGAGGATGCGAGCGCAGCCATCTGGAGCGCTCTGAGCGACGGCGGTGTGATTTACATTTCCGGATCGGCGCAACAAATGCCGCAAGATGTCCGAGCGGCGTTGCAACAAATCGTCGTTGCCCAAACAGGCCAAAGCGAGGCCGATGCCGAGGCGTATCTTGCGCAATTGGAGCGCGTCAATCGTTTGCAAGTGGAGACCTGGTCCTGAGTGGTGGGAAGCAGCGGTCGGATTTATTATTTTTAATACACTTTCCCTCCCTCCCTCCCTCCCCTCCTCCATTGCTCTCAAGATGGCTTCATAGTGCAAACCGAGAGCCGTCTATGCTTGCTGTCCGATCGTCGATCACCCGTTGTGCGTTGACTTTGTGAAAGTGCCGGTTTATCGAGCTTTGCATTCCACCTCAACCGTCAACCTCCTATTTCCATGCAGTACCGACCCCTACATTATATATCCCCTTTTATTACAAATGTGCGTTGCGTGTGCAGCGAGCTAGCTCAGTCTTCTGAATGCCGAAAGAGCCCAGCGCTCGTAGCGATCCCGACACCAACCACCCTTACAAGGAGTAAAGAAACGCGCGCACCACCAACCACCAACCACCACCTTCCAACTTGGCCCTTCTCTTGCCTTCCAATCTGTTTATTTTGGTTCAAGGGGAAGTCGGGGTTGAGGGTTGAGGGTTGGGGTTGGGGGTTCAATGCAAT